TTTTCTTCAAAATATGACTAATATCGCTGTTACACGCAATCTCACGTGTCAATTAAATAATAATGAGACATCACCAAGTGATTTTCAATTATGTGCTATTCGTTTTTATAGAGGTTTGAATGGATCGCAAGAAATATCGTTCACTCTATACAATGGTCTTCGATATATGAATACATTTCGTCGATACATTCAAAAATACTGTGGCGGCGAAAGTGCAACTATATCAGATGGAGGTACCGGTGTATGGTCATGTGACGTAAGACTGCCATTCGAATCGTACACATCTATGCAGATCTGTGTTTGTGCAAGTGATTACTGTAATACAAACTTCGATACTTGTCGAAATTCAACTATGAATACTACGAATATGTCATCATTGATGGATTTTATGCCTAATCTAACTTCCATTATTCAATGCGATGATACATTGAATGCATCTAATACATGTACAGAATATCCATTTATAAATGTTTCGTCTTGTCAAGACTATATTAGAAGTACAAGTGTATTGTGTGCTATTACAATAAATAATTCAATGACAACACAACAATCGCTCATTTATGAAAATTACGAAATTTATCTTTCTGAAAAAGTTTATCAAGCGATATCAATATTCAATATGTTTTTTAATATTGTGCTTAATGAAACAACAAATAGCGTCTACTTCAAGTATACTGATCTTGCCGCCAGACCTGTTGAAGAATGTGTTTGTACAAATTCTCTTTGTAATCAAAATATTACCATATGTCCATCACAAAGTACTTTACAAGTTGAAACAACAATATCAACATTTCCATCTACGGACACTTCCTCAGCAAATTTCACTACAGATACGTCTGCCTTAGTAGAGCTCTCGTCAATGTCAAATTCTATATCTACAGTTACCACTACTATAGAAATGTCTACAACGGCAACATTTTCCACATCAACTACAATAACCTCCACAACAACAACATCTTCCATATCAGCAACAACAAATTTTACAACGACGACATCTCTGACATTAACTACAACAACAGCCACAGATATCATATCATCCACATCAATTATAATGATCGACACAGAGATCACACAGTCTACACCAATGACAATGGCCGCCACAGAGATCACACTATCCACACCAACTACAGCAATCATCACAGAGGTCACACCATTCACACCAACTGCAACAGTCGTTACAGAGATCACACCGTCCACACTAACTGCAACAATCGTTACAGAGATCACACCGTCCAAACCAACTACAGCAATCATCACAGAGGTCACACTGTCCACACCAACTGCACCAGTCGTTACAGAAATCACACCG